ATGATTTTGGATCAGATAATATCTCAGTTAAATTAATTAAATCCTCACATCCATCCGTTTTCCCTATCATTTATCATATCTATAACTTTTCACTACAAAGTTCCACTTTTCCCATCACCTGGAAAACTGCTCTTGTTTGTCCACTGAATGAAACCTCTAATCCTGCAACCCCTAACGATTTTTGTCCAATTTCTCTGTTATCTAATCCTTTCAAACCTTTAGAACGATTAGTACAATCCCAACTATTCCTCTATCTTGAACAAAATAAGCTTTTGAACTGCTTCCAGTCTGGTTTTAGACCTGACTACTCTACTCATCCCACCCTCATTAAAATCCTCACAGCCATAGATCAACAGAAACTCACCATCCTTATCCTTCTTGATTTTTCCTCAGTATTTGGCTCAGTAGACCATAATATTCTCCTAGCCAAACTCAAAAATATTTCCTTGTCATCTAGTGCCCTTAAGTGGTTATTCCTTTCTCACCGGTCGCTCTAAGTTGTAGTCCCTAATAACCCTCCATCAGAGTCTCTACCCTTGTCCACTGGACTTGTTCCTCTCACCATCTTTCCCATCTATATCAATGACCTCCCTTCCTCTATTCTGCACTGTCAATACCACCAACATGCAGACAATGTCCAAATTTACCTTTCCTTCAACCTGGCTGACTCCTCTAATGCCAACCTGAAATTGCAGCAAGACATCAATAGAATATGCGCTGGGGAAAACATTAATTAGCTCATATTAAATGCCAAGAAGACAAAAGCCATCCTGATCAAAACCCCCTAAATCCTCAAATCCATTTGTGTACCTCCCAATCTTCTCCTCAACAACCCACCTATATTTTATATAGGAGATATCTTTCTATACTACTATTAAAAACCTTGGCGTTAGCCTTAATCAAACCCTCTCCTGGATACCACACATCTCCCAAATTTCCTGTCGTACTATTTCACACCCTGAAACAGTTTATCCATTTGTGCTATCTCCTTCCATTCAAAACGCATCAACTGCTGGTTTCATCTCTTGTTTTCTCCCACTTTGACTATGGCTGTATGGTGTATGCTGGACTCTTGGGTGAACTCAAAGCCAAACTTATACATCCAATGAATTGCTCAATACACTTGGGATCTCAAGTGATACACATAGTATCCAGTATTACACTGAGTTGAAGTGGCTTTATCTGTACTACCGCCATCAGTATTTCCTTGCAACCTTCCTATACCAGGCTATTAGACACTCCTATATTCTATAGATCCTACAATTCAAATCCTCCATTTAATCCCATCCCATCAGATGATGTACGGCCGACCTCAATATTCCTCCTCATCGAACTGCTGTGTGTTTTATTAATTAATCCACTAAAATTAATTGCCCCTTCATGGATATTAATTGGAAGTTACAATAAAAGGAAATTAACAAAATAAGCAGTGACGTCATTCACAGATATTCTTCCATCAAACTCTTCATTTTTATTTCATAAGAAAAGGGCTCCCAGTTATATAGCATGTACCGGGCCTCCCAATATTGTACATTCTGTATTTATAATTTGTTCTAAATGGACACAAGTCCCAGAATAATAAAATTATTTTTATTCACCTGCTTAGTTAGTTTTGTTTTCAGGGTTGCCAGAGATACACGAATAAGCCAGTACAGTGTTAACTAGCTTTACCCATCTTACAGGTTCCATAATTTCCTTGTATCCTTCCTATATTAATATTCAGAACTCAGCGCCTATCCTACAAATTACAAAGCCTGCAATTTCAATCACCCATCAAACCATGTCCTAACTGATCCTAACATGACCATCTGACCTCTAACCCTACTCCCCAACAAAACTGTGACGTTTGACAAATCCTTCCTTGCCCAAGCTGCCTTCTTCTAGAACTTTATCCCACCTATCATCTGCCAAATGTGAATGCTAACCTCCTTGAATGATCATTTGTCATGAAACAATATTTCATTACTAAGTATTGAGCACAAAGCCCTTTAACAATTGCAATGAAACGAAAAAAATAATTTTATTCTGGGACTACAGTCTCCTAAGAATAATACAGAGTTACATAATTAAGAACATTAATCGGACTTAGATGAGTACAAAATGATGCCTAATTGACTGTTGATTGTTATTGCAATTGTGCAGTTGATTGAATTAGATTTTGTAAAGATACAAGTGAATTTTACATGTTTGCGGAAGTTTAAATATGGAGTAGTTGGTAGAACAGGAGCTGATTGAAGGAATTTGAGGACGAGGATTGATGTAAGGAGTTAGGTAGAGAGTTCCAAAAGGAGGATGCAGGAATGACGAAGGATTTGCTGAAGGAAGTAGGTTTATGGGAGAGGATATATAAATCTTTAGGTTTAGACCTGGTATTGAGAGACTGGATAGTGGGACGTAAAGTAAGGAGTTCCAGGATGTAGGGTGGGTTGTTGGTTCTGAGGACTTGGAAAAGGAAAACACCAAGCAGGAATTGTCGTCGGGAAGTAGGAAAAAGCCACTTCAACTCGATGTGCCTGAATGAAACATAGGAGCGCTTGGGGATCCCAAAGATGTATCTTATGAAACAGTTCATGAGCTTCTTTAATCTTATTTCTAGCCTGGCAGATAGCCCTGAATACACCAAGCAGCCATAATCGAAGTGGGGGAATATAAGGGAGATTACAAGGAACTGTCTGGTTTTTAGAGGAATACAATCACGGAATCTTAGGAGTTGTTTAAGGACAGTTATGGATTTTCAGGTAATCTGGGAGATATGGTTATTCTGGGACGGGAGAGGTTTTGGTCAAAGGTTACTCTTAGGTTTTTGACTATAAGAAAAAAATGGAAAGGGTGGTTATTGAGGTAAAGTAGAGGAAAATAGAAAAGGGAACTAATCAGATCTCTGGACTCTAGCCATAATTTTATCTGCATTCAGCTTTAACTTCATTTCTTTCAGCCCATCTGTTGATGCTGTTGATATCTTCTTATAGCTTTCGGGTAGCCTCAGGCATCTCAGAAGGTTGGAATTATTGGTAAATTTGGAAATCATCAGCGTATGGGTGGTAACGGGAGTGTTGAATGGCGTCAGAAAGGTCACTAATATAAATAGAGAAAAGAGTCGGAGAGAGGGAGGCACCCTGAGGAACACCTCATGTTAATTGAAGGGAAGACGATGGAGGTTTGTTCGGAATTACTACTGTCTGTGATTGCAGTTGCAGATTTATAGAGACATCAGAAACATAGACTTCATCTTCTTCTTTAGCTTCCCTCTTTAGTGTCTCACAGCGTAGAGGAGATTTCAGCCAGGAATTCCATTCTTCCCTATTTCTAGCTAGGTTCCTCGCCTGTCGGAGGACCTTCTCCCTCGCCCTATAGAGTCGCCCAATGTAGTCAAGATAGGACATTCTGGGGTGGCCCCTAGGTCATCTGCCATCTGGGACATATTTCATGGTTTTTAGAGGATGTCTGTGGTGATCCATCCTGATAACATGGCTAAACCACTTTAGCTGACGAGTTTCTAGCTCTTTCAGTGGGGCTATCTGCAGTTCCTGACGAATATTTTCTTTGCAAACTCAGTCTCTCCTTGTTTTCCCAACCGTCCTTCGCAGAAATTTCATTTCGGCAGCGGTGACTCTGCTCTCATGTCGGTCTGTTAATATCCAGCTCTCCGCTCCATACAAAAGTATGGGTAGATATACCGTCTTGAAGATGTGTAGCTTGACGTCTTTGCCTACTTCTCTCTTCGCTTCTACCTTCTCAGATCCGTCTATCACTGTACCCAGGTATGTGAAGTTTGTCACCACTTCTAATTCTTCTCCATTAAAGTATATGTGGATATCTTCCTTCTTTCTTCAGACTTGTAGGATCTTACTTTTGTTGGTATTTATAAGCATCCCTTTTCGTTGAAGTTCTTCATACCATTCCATAACTGCCAATTGCAACTTTTCCAATGAGTCCGTAATCAATACTACGTCGTTAGCATAGAAGAGAAGCTGTATCACTACAGGAATAAGATTCCTACGTCCCAGCAATGTCCTGTTCGTTCTTCTCTTACAAATTTATGCCACTTCTTCCATGAATAATAAGAACAATGGGCTTAGGCTGTCTCTTTGTTTCACCCCCCTCGCAATATTGAAACAACCTGATTCTAGCCTGTTCAGCCTGACTATTCCTTTGGGCTCTTGATATATAGATTTCACAGAACATTCTTCGATCTGAGAGCTTCTCATTTTTCATCTCGCGGAACCGAGTCAAAGGCAGATTTGAGGTCAAGGAAAGCCAGGTACATATTTTTATCAAGGTCCCAGGATTGCTGTAAGATAGTTCTTAATGAGAAAATGTTGTCATGGGTTTGGCGCCCGGGGCTAAACCCAGCTTGCTCTTCTCCTACCAGGTGCTCAACTAGTGGTCTTAAGTGATCCACCCACCAGTGTGGATCATAGACACATATTGTAAATTTCTCAACATTTTGCATCAGCCAATGTCTGTCAAAATAAATTTAACTATTTTGATAAATAAACAATGGTTTGAAGCATGTGTTAAGAAAGAACAAATGTTAAATAATATATTGTAATGTCAACATTACATGGCATTTTAATAGTGGCGTGAAAGTGGTAACAGCACGAACTACGGGGAGGAAGTGCGTGCGGATGGTGGGGGAAGCAAGCCTCATGTAACTCAGAATGTGACGGGCCGCCAAGAGAGAAGGTGATAGCGGCCAAGAGAGAATGTGACAACCTGTCAAGAGAGAAGGTGACTAGCTGCCAAGTGAGAAGGTGCTAGCCAGCAAGCTGAGAAAGTGAAAAAGGAGTACTAGCCGGTTCGAGTGTTGATAGAGGCCAATAGTGGAGATTATTTTATGTTGGAAGAAAAACATAGCAGAAATTAATTAAGTGGTACAGAAAACGGAACATTCGTAAGTGAGAAGAGATTATTTCACTGGCAGGCGTAAACATTTGGGTGAGTGCTAACAATGCCATTTATGTGGACAGAGGGATAAGTTTAGACCAGGACAAATTATTTTATAAAACTATTTTAAATTATATTTAACTGTAGTTAGCAATTAGTAAATTAGTGTAGATTATAGTTATTTAATGTTGAATTTATGTTATGTGTTAAAATAAATAATATATTGAAAAAAGAAACTCGTTTGATTTTGGAGGGAAAGAGGAACGTAACAACATACTATTTAATTATGAAATAAATATTATCATGAATAACTACTAAAATGGTTTTTATTCTGATAATTTAAATATACTAACCTCAATATCATCAAGGTCTAAACAAACGGAAATTTGTTCTGTATTACTCTTGCATTCAAAAGTTTCCATTATATAATAAGCTGAAACAATTTATGACATGAATAATAAAGATAATATGAGCAAATAATTTTGTTTATTATTGTTTAATTCATAGTTACTACTCATTATTAATTATGCTAGAAGATATAATTTTAAAATATGGTATAATAAAAAAATAATTTAATGTGATAAACATTAACAATACCCTCAGAATAACAATGTCTCTTCTCACTGTCTGGAAAATCCAAAAAACCTGGTTTTAAGCCTTTTTTTATTCTTGGTAGAACTTTTTTATAAATAACTTTGTTTTCTTGTCTCTAGAAATCAAATTTGGATTAAATAAGAATTAGACAGATTATTTAATACAGCAACTTAAATGTTCCTTACCAGCCCTGAAACAACTGACGATAAGTGTCTCATGAAACACTGAAAAAATAAAGAATAAAATAAAACATTAGTACAATTATTGGAATGATACGTTTATAAAATCTATTTTGAACATACTTGCAACACATCCTGTAATTCCTCAGATGATGAAACTGCAAAAAACGCAGGTAAATCACTTTAATTTATAGCTACAATAATTTCCATAAGTAAATTTAACATAATCAGGATATTCTACAAGATGTTTATGGTCATAATCTTGCTTCTCCTTTACTCTGACAACATATATGAAAGCAAGTAATAGGACCTTGAATAAGTTCTCATTGTTTTTTTTTAAAAATGAATGTGTGGGATTTACATACAAAATTTTATTATGTTGTGATTTGACCTGTGTGAATAACATGGGGGGCCCTATCTCATCCTGCACTACCCCTTCCCTAAGACGGCGTTATCTACGGCCAAAAGACAGATGCTAGCGGACGAAGCGAGGAACCCGTAACCACACCTCCAGAGTTACAGCCCTTTGGCTAATTCCAGGACTCCGGACAAACTGCAGAGAGAGAGAGAGAGGAGGCGCGAGACCGGCCCCCTCATAAAACTGTACGTAAGCCACATTACAAATTCACAAGTATTCTTTCACAAACATTTGTTTCTTTTTATATTTCACAAGAAAAGGACTTCAGATTCAAAAATTTCAACGAGCGTAATCCTTTCCCATACTATATATTTCATAGATAGGTAAGTGATGTCCTTATCACATTCTGCAGAGCTAAGTTGCTGCAAATCCCAGGTATATAAAAATCTTAAATATGCAATTTCATTTTCATACGACTTTTCGTTTTTGAGCTAGAATGTTCACACAAACACACACACACACACAAACACACACACACACACACACACACACACACACACACACACACACACACACACACACACACACACACACACACCCTTTTGCGGGACTTAGTTATTTGGACTCAGGAGACCTCAAAACACATATTTCCCTTTGAAAATTCAGATTCAAAAATTTCAACGAGTGCAATAATTTCTCTTGCTATATATTTCAAAGATAGGTAAGTCAAAGGAAAAATACACATATACAGAGTGATAATTATAATATCTATAAAAATAAATAAATATTAGTAAAAACGAATATTAATTAACTATATTTCACCTTTTGTTTTTATTATGATATCATAGCATTTCAGATTTCGTTCTACAATAGATGAATTACTATTCGGCATGCAGCAATGGCCACTCTATAAAAATTATAAAAAAAAAAAAATAGGCTATCAATAGGAATCAACATAATTTCTCATTCAGAAATCAGTCAAAGTAATAAAATAAATTTAAAAAGAAACAATCATTTAAATGTTTTTTTTTTTAATCATTAGAAAACTGATATCAATTTGCAATAATGAAAAAATTATAATTATTTAAATACATCTACATTAAACTCACAAAAAAATGAAAACTGAGGTTTTTTTTTGTTAAAATTTAATGATCAATCAAAATTTTTTGGAAAATGAATTCATCGTTTTAGTTTTTTAATGTACCAGAATGAAGATCCCTCCTTAGGTTAAATCCTGGGAAATTTCAATAGGAATAATTTCTACAACAATAACCATAATTTGACCAGTATAACATGTGATACTATGCAATTACTAAATTAAATTTATTTTTTAAGGTTAAATATGTAGAAGTTATTGGTTTATGATCTATTTACAGTTAAAAAGATATGTAAATTTCTACCTCATGACGAATTAGTTTTAAACAGTCTTCCTTTACAAGATCAGCGAATATTCCAGTCTACAATACAAATATTAAATATTAATAAAGTATAACCATTAAAAAGTAAATAGTATAATACAGCATTCAAAATTTATCAAATAGTGTCAATGTTAAATAAAAAACAAATTATAAGAGTATTAATTTATTAAACTAAACTTTATAACTATTTTTTTTTAAGGTATGGATTACTGACAATCACTAATGGATCCAGAATTTAATTTTGGTGGAGGAGGTTCATCCCGAAAGATTTTTTTTAATAAATATATTAGGATAATGACTTTGGAAGAAATAAAGAAACTAACTACCTATATGAAATGGTCTTGTGATTGTTGAAGTCCTATTACCTGTAATTAGAAAAACAATAATACTTTTTAAGATAACTTCTTCTTAAAACATGGCTATATTTTACCATTTTGGGAGGAGAGGGGGAGCTTCAGCCTGAAAGCTCTCCCCTGTTGATCCGCCCGTGCTGACAATCAGATCAAAACACTCAGACAAACTGAAATTAACCATACTAAACACTGTTTGATTTTAAAATAAAGTCAACTATGGATTCGCAAGCTAACCTTTTTTCTACAAATACTATTTCTTCCTTTGTTGCACTAAATTCATTTGTCTTCAAATGCTTTCCAATGTTCTGCCAAACACAACTTCCAAAATGATGACACTTTCTTCTACACAACTCAAGCTCCCTGGGAGATCCTCCCTCTTGTAATTCCAAACAACTAGTCTCTCTGCCAAACAACAACTTCCAAGATGGTAATGCTATTACTGGGTTTTACCCACTTGAGCCAGGATCCCTTCTTCCATCCTCTCTTCACCCCAGCCTAACACAAACTGGTTGCCAAAATAAAATTCTTTGTCCCCTCTCCTCTTTGGGATTTTCCTTTCTGGGGAAACTACAGAACAGTCATTTTCTTTTCACTGAACTAATGAAACTAAATTAGCTAGCCTTTCAACTGTTCAACATTAATTTATTCAACCATTTTTACCGATTTCCAATCAAGGTGTGTATTACAATATATATATATAACAAATAACATTTAAGTGACTTTCATAAGGTTGAAAGTAGGGATGTGCTGGTACTGGCGGTACATTAAATAATAATTATTTAATTTAATGTGCATATTTTGGTACAATAATATAACTAATTAAACTCAGTAGAAAAAAATATTAAACATTTTATTTTGTGTCCCATAGTTGACCTAAAGTATAATTTTTCCTTTTCTTAATTTGATTGTGACAGAGCTTTTAGAGAGAAGGGTGCAGCAGTGACTACCTATTACCGCTCTGATCAGTTAGTGGACTATGATGACTGTGACAGACAACCGGTAAGGCCCCGCTGTGAGTCGCAGGTACGCAGCACCTAGTATAGGCTGTGACAGAGTAGTGGTTAGGCCAAACTTTGACAGCCACATGTATGGAGCAACTGGTATGGGGTGTGATTAGAGTTGTAGTGGCCTGGGTAAAAATGGGTGTTTTCAATTGCTACATTTCAAATTATTTAAATAAATTTCAAAATAATAATAATTTAATTAAAATATAAAAGATTCAAAAGAAAAATATAAAATATAAAGCAAGGTATATATATATATCTATATATATATATATATATATACACACAACTATTTCCTCGATTGTTAATAATATATGTTTTTTATGGATCTTAAGATTCAATAAAACAAACCTTATTATTATTGACATATTTAGATATATGACTTATTTGTACATATACAGAGTGTTCCGTAAGTAGAGGGAAATTTTTATATACTGATAGTAGACTTCAAGAGTTACAAAAAAGTTCATATAAACAATGGCTTAATTTTCAGCAGAAAAGTAGTAAATCTAAGTTTCATGTTTTTTAAGTAAGACATGTTTTTCCTACTAGGAGTAAACTGTTAATTTTTTTCAAAGTTTGAAAAAGTATTTAAAATCCACCGAATCATGCGAATGCCATTGTTTAAAATGCTATTTAATTGTATTTGTGTGAAAGAACAGGTGAAATATAAAAATATTTCGTGGATATGATTATTATCTTAAATACATTTGCTGTAGTTTAATAACTCTAGATATGATATTATATTTAAATAATTAAGTATCTATTGGCCCTTTATTCTGAAAAATCATCAACAAGTAACCTTTTAGAAAATTAAATTAGTGAATCATTTGATGAATATGTGAAATCCCAACATTATCCACTTACAATTATTATGACAACTTTTGGCCTATCCATGGCAGGCAATGAAAATCTCGTAATTTGATTTTAGTAAACTTTATAATGGAAAATAACAGTTTAATAACTAATAGTCCTACAATCCATAATCATTTTTAGGTTAAATATTCAGATGTATTTTGAAATCTCTCTAGGCATATATTAGCCTTTCGGATGACTGAATGACTAACTCCAATTTCAACATTCTTTATTATTAATTTCACAGTTCTATATTTCAACATTGCAATCACCTACTCTGGAATCAACTTACTCACTGTCTGTATAGATATAACTTTTCCAACTTGAAATATCAGTAAAATGACATTACTCAAAAATGTTGAAATTCCAGTTAGTCATTCTGTCAGCTGAAAGGCTTAGAGACTGAAGTTATGGATTTATAAAACAAGATTTTTATTGCCTACCGTCGATTTAATAAATGTATATTTTGTAATTTTTATGGTCTTAATGATTTGTTATCTGTAAGCTTTAAGCTTTAGCTTCGTTTAAAATGCACTTAATAAAAATTATAATAGCCAAGCATTGCCAGAAAATAATTTATATTTAAAGTAGAGGGGTAAGTGAAAGTTGTATGTTGATTTTTCGCTTTGATACGCTATTTAGTAATAATACATAAAAAAAAATCTGGTATGTGATTCCATGGTATGAGGAAAATATTTAAAGGAGTGATAGCAGAAATCAAGAAATGCAAAAAAGTTTATATAAACAATGGTTAAATTTTCAGCAGGAAAGAAGGAAATTAAAGTTTTGTGATTTTTAAGCAAGTCATGTTTTTGTTAAATAGGAAACGATAACCAGAGAAATATATAATTTAAGTAATTAACAATTGATTTACTGTAAACTAGGCAGAATTAACTTCAAATGATAATAGAGTTGAAATGATAATGTTAAAACCATTTAAAGAGGATTTTTGAGTGGCTAAACTAAGCTAAGGAGTGGGGGTGGTGGGTAGTGGTGGGGGAACGGGTAGAGGTGGGGGAAGCAACTGGTACAGTGGTGCGCCTCCCCCCTGAGATATTTACTGGACCCGCCACTGATAAGAGGGCATATAATTGGTATCAATTGTTGACAATATTGACGTCACTCAAACTGGTTGATATGAATTTTTTAAAATTATTATTGGAACAGCATCAATATATTTGCAAGTGTAAGGGCTGTATTGGGCAATATTAAATCATAAATACGGATTTAGGGCCTCTCAAGGTCCGGTGATTCCATATTTCGGGGTCTCTTTTGATTTGAATGTAACTGTATGGTGCGGAGTGGTCCGCCCTCTCTCACTCCCCTATTTTAATTTTTTTTTTAGGAAAAAATATTATAATTTATACCATTTAAGTGTTTTAATATTACTCTTTTTTTTTTTTTTTTACAAAAGTTAATTTTTATACAATATTTAATAATAAAGTAATATGAAATTCATTATTATTCATATTGAGAAAAATGTACGAAGGTAACTACTTCTTTGTAAAAAGCAAGATGGTAATTGTGATAATATTGACTCAATACAAATGAGAGGTGTGAAGGGCCTGCCAATATATTGCTTCAATAATAATAACCGTGTAAGCGGCTCTTTAAGGGAAGTGGCAGTAGAGCTTTAAATAATATAGTCAAACGCTATCTGTAGGTAAACTTCCTGAAGAAGCTTATAGGAAAATAATTAATCGGATAAAAGCAGTATTTTTTTGTTTTTTCTCCACTTATCAGCGACAAAAATAAAAAGAGTGCACGATATTCTATAAAAGCACTATTACTATCCACATTCCAATTTTTGATTCATTCGTTTTCATCTTTGTTTAGACCTTCGGGCATGACAAGTTGGCAAGTACCAATTAATTTTTCTAGCCTCAGTTACTGTTCCATCCACTAGCGGAACCGGAACACGATCGGTTTTGGCCACTATCCGTCATTGGTGGAGTCAGACCATTTTCGGTCATCGATGGAAGTTCTAAGGTATATCTATGTATATACGAGAAAATATAAGAAATCAAGTAATTTGCAGATTTCGAAAGATATGAGGGCCTTAGGGTAAAATTTGTTCCGAACGCCTACAACTCACGAAACGGCCTCATCCACAAAAAATTCTTAATGTATTAAATGTTCAATAAGTACTGCTGAATTTAAAGCTTTAGGATCAGTCCAATGTTGTTATTGAATAGTTTTAATTTATGTTTTCGATATTTATATCGACAACATCAATGAATATTTACGCGGTAAAATGATGAAAATACTGATAAATGATTAAAGGGTTATTTTTAACGTTCTTAATGTTGAATTTATTCATGCATTGAAACATTAAAGTTAACAATACCTTTTAATACTCCTAGACAATGACATTTTCAATTTAATAGCAGCATTTGGTCATAATGCATTCAGTCATTTGGACAAGTAAACATTATAAAGGATAATTTTAATATTACCTATTCTATTATAACATTCTCTAGATTCATCCATGTTCAACACCAGACAAAAGCAATTATATCTAATACAACGCAGTGCATCTACAAAGACTAGATCTTATAAATACCTTTAATAGGCATAAAAGAAAAATCAGTGGCGTAGATGACGCCAGTGCGATTGACTTGTGCGACTTACTCAATCATATCCCATATCCCAATCAATAGATTGGCAGTGCAGGACTAGTGGTTTGGCCTAAACGCTCTCCAGACCTGGCACCACTAGATTTTTTTTGATTGGGGTGACATTAGACAAAAAGTCTATGCAAGTCCGGTAAGTGACCTTAATTCCTTAAGAAGAAGGAAGTGCCGTTCTGCCACTGGAGCTGTTGAAGAAATATGCCGAGCATGTCTTAATGCTCAAGGAAATCACCTTGAACAATACTTAATATGAATTTTAATGTTTACATTTAATTAATAAAGCAGTTGGAACAAATAAATAGGTTTTATTTATTTCATATAACGTAAATAATTCATAACAACGAAAATCTTTAGGTATGATTATCTCCTAAGCAAAGTTGCGGACATACCTTCAGAGGAATTTTTTTTCTTGTTCCGAGGCCCTTAGTTCATTTTTGCAATTTGGCATCCTGAAACACCCTGTAGAGTACTAAATGGTTGTCCGGTTAATAATATTCAGAAAGGAGATTGTCTGGGGTGATGGTCATGAAAAAACTTCGAATAGTCAGAAACTATTATATTTGCTTTATTATAAAAACTATTTTGCTTCGTTTAAATAAACTAGTTTTTCACTATTTTAAGTTTTTTTTATGGACGCCACTATCCCCTTCCTGAATTAAATAATATAAGTTATTATAATAATCATTAAAAAATAACTCGTCTAAACCTTTTAGAAGATTATAGAAGCTTTAACCTCAATATTTATGTAGACTTGATCCTCGAAACGAAATCTATGGACAGCCTTCGAAAAATCACTTGATTAATGTTATCTTTATCTTTTTATGTATTTTTTCTGAAATATATATCCCTTTTCCGGCTCTCAGGAGTGATGGATTTTGACCAATGAGCTATCAGTAATAAGGGTGTATCATTTAGAAGTGCGCGAATCGTAATTTTGATTCCTAATTTTATAACAGGACTTAAATGAAAGGAATGAAAAGTGGGAGGTTTCAAACCATATATATATGATGTTGCCGTCTCAACGAATCGAGACGTTACAAATGAATTCATAATTTTGCAACTCGAAAAGAGCGCAATTTTTGAAAGCTTACTAAATTCCCAACAAAAAGTAAAAAGAGTTATGGAATTTTTAGTGGCGTTCATGTAGGAAGTATGTAAACAGAAACATCGAGAAAGATTATAAAAAATTTATAGTAGAACAATAATACATATTTAATCTATTTTTTACTTCATTAAATATTTTTATGAAGATCTGAATTCTCATATGAGATAAAAAAAAATACTATAACTCATTTTTGGACTTGAAATGCTTCAACTATCTCTATGACAAACAATATCCTAATTCGTCTCGTATCTTCCACGGCATAAAATGCGTAAGTACATTAAAAAAAGTTATAACAGACCTAAAATTTTTAATGTAATATATAGCTGTTAGAAATTAGGTATCAGTCATCTTAAAAAAATGTACCAGTTCCAAACATTAAATTCAGAACAGTTGTAATATCACTTTTCATCTTTATTTCCTTTATACTTCTATAGTACATAGAAATATAAAATAAATTTTACAAATAAAAGTTTTTAATTTATACGATTTTCCTTTGTCTCTCTCTCTGTCTCTCCCTAGACGTTGATTTTAAATAATCTAATATTCTATGATAATAGCGAGACACAAAATATGGGTTGATTTTGAATAAAAATCCAAGTTAAAAAAAAGAAAATATAAATTAACTTCAAAGTAATTAAGTAAATTAGGCGTATACCGTCAGAATGGCTATAGCCAAAGAGGTAGTGTACTTCAAGGTGCGTTGGAGTCTCATCTTTGCGAGTTCTACCGCTCATTTGACATCTACTGAATAGTATACGGTTGGCGGGGATAGAATTGACCGGTGTAGTAGAATCCAACAACAGGGGGAGGAAGTGGAGGGGGAAAGCAGCTACTCAGCGATGTGCCAATATCTGGTGGGGAAGTTAAGGAGATGACTCAAGCCGTGGGATGAGGTGGGGTGGCCGAGCATGCTAAGGTGTGAGCACAGCACCGCGTTGCCCTGAAACCTGATGGAAGAGATTTGATAAAATAATTACGAGTTCGCGTCCAGGTACTGCGAGGGGGAGAGGATTTTAACTCTGCCATTAATCTCCCGCCTTAACTCCTTGGACAGGGAAAACCCTGTATAGCCTAAAAGGCGAGGGAGGAGAGGACACAAAGAAAAAGGCCTCACGAAAATATTTTTTTTTTTGTTATGGATATTTACATCTCTGCTTTTCAAAGATTAAAACATATCGGGGTACGGTATATTGAGATATATTTTTATTCTTTGTTTTTGGCAATGATGACTTTCAACTAAACAACAATTGAATTTATTTGTTGTGTTTCCAGATTACATGTTTACATGTCAACGTTTCCGAATATTTACTCCCGTCTTCCGAACTACAATTCCAATGTTTTCTTGTTGATTCATGGTTAAAAAATTGAGTCAAAATATAGTGCATGTTACAATACATGTCAGAATTGAGTTGTTACATTAAATTTGTAATTACCTTAAAGCTAATGTGCTCCATTGTCAAGTTCTAAATTCATGTTATAATATATTTTTAATATTGAATGTTTAATAGTTGATCGTAATAGTATGACCGTTTAATAGTATATATATATATATATATATATAATCTATAAATACAGTAAAAGATAAAACACATGATACTTTATCAATATTTACCTGGTTGGCTGTGAAGCAGTTTTTTATAGTTACATGGGGTACCTTCCGCCATTGGGTGCCTTTCAACATTCCTCCGACTGCTTCTGTTCCTAATCTTAAACAATAATTTTGAGATGCGTAAATGATTTTCACATAACCACATACTGTAATCTGGAAAAGAGTTTTCACACCAGAAAATGATGCAAGGGTGGCATTTTAGACGTATTCTTCATACAATCTTGAACAAACATTTAAAATTTCATTCCTAATATTAATACACGTCATTTATCTAAGAAATGATTATTTACAGTAATTATAACAAGGAAAATTAATTTTATCAGCTGTAATCAATCAGCAAAGCATCATAAAGATGGAGGATCAACTTTCTTTAGGTATCTAAACTTAACACAAATAAACGAAGGAATTATCGCAAAGGGTTAGTTATCTTAAGAAGGATGTGTGGAAATAACACCAATGTTTGAATATTTAACTATTTCAAACCAAGCATTTGAACACACTGGGCAGTAACTAGTCTAACTACTGGCGTTGATAAGTAGATGCATTTGAAAATGTTGTCTAATGCCCTCCAGCTAAAGCCTTGTAATAACAAAAAAACAAAAAAAAAAATGAAAAATAAAAAAAAGTAGATGCATTTTTATTTTTGATTCAAATTATCGCTGTTACAGCAATTAAGGAAGAAGATGGAACAAAAACTTCAAATTAACAAGAATTTATTTTATTAATAGGAAGAATATTTGAAAAAAACACAAGGAAATATGCTATAATACATAATAACATAACATTTTCTGAAGTAAATTGTATATATACAGAGCAGTTTTAATAGAAATTGTAATATATTGAAAATTTATAACTTAACAAATAAATTTATGGTGTATTATGCTGAAAGATTTATTATACAATAATGAAGTGCCATAAATCATTTAATTTTCTGTATATTGATATGTAATAAATTTTTTCCTGTAATGTTATAAATAAGTAGAAAAAATAAATTATTTATTTTTTAGTACAACAATAGAAACATTTCTATCGGTTTTATTTATTTTTGCTTGTTGCATTATCAAAATGACTTGTCAAATTGAAGTAATTGAAATAAGGGTGTCTTATTTGGGCATTTTTCCAAAACTGATTTGTATTTATTGCATTCATCACCTGAAAAATGAGAATTGTAGAAAATAGGAATTAGTAAATTTTTCTATACAGGCAATATTTTTTTTTACTTACTGTTTTTCCAAAGTTCCTCAGGGCAATTCTGTAACAAACATAGTTGCTATCATTTTATAAATCCGAGAAGCAGTAATTTATAGAATCATTTTTATGAAATTCAGAAACTTGTAAAAACTCAAGAAAAGTATATGTATAAAGTATGAACATTTGGGTATCCTGTTCGCAAACACTCTCCAGTTACTTGAACTGAAATGTTTTAGTTTCTAACATTGCAGATTTTGAGACCTCTGAATTGTCATAAAATTATGAAAAAATCTGAAGAAAATGAATTACTAGTTTAGTATAATGTGCATTCTTTGTTATTCGTTTGGATCAAGTTGGAAAGTAATATAAAATGAGGTGCCTGTGAAATTCTGGAATGAGCCAGCTTCATATAATGCACAGATACTTTTAGCAGTTGTCTTATCCGTGGACCCAACAACAGACTGATAGAATCTAATTGTAAGTTAATAAATTTTATTTGTAATGTTATACCTTACTTCAATTTATAGGCTATAACTCTTAACATAGGATCAAGCAAGCAATAATATTATAAATTAAACAAAACTATGAATTTTGCTTGTTATGTATACAATTTTCCACTTTTTGGGGGTTGTAGTGGGATAAAAAAAAAAAAAAAAATATTGTAAATTTCTCAACACTTCATATACGGCAATGTCTGTGAGCAGAAATAAAATAATTTTTATGAATTATTCACAGAATATTTTATAAAAATCTAAAAGATAAAAAATTAAATACCAATATTTTTTCTCGATGAACACAAAGGAAAAGTTGCAGTGCTCCACTTTTGCATCTAGATGATTCCTTTATGATATAATCTAAAACATTTTTTTTAATTCAATCAATAACATATCATAAATGCAATTTTGTTTATTATCATTTTTATCACAGTTAAAGCTCATTATCAATAATATGAAAGTATAATTTAAAAAAAATTATAATATACAAGTAATTTCAAGTTATAATATTTACCATTTTCAATACATTGTGTTATCCTATTGATTGACAAATCTTTAAAATCTGGTTTTAATTCTTTTGTAATATTTGCTAGAATATCTTCAAAAATAACCTTGTTTCTTTCATTCTAAAAATTAAACGTGAATTTAAATTGAATTAGAAGTGTTGTTAAACAACAATTATGAAGCAATTTAATTTTTAATTTAATGTTTCTTACCACCATATCAACTTTTGTAAATAAGCATTGAAAGAAACACTGAAAAAAAATATATTAGAATTTGATATTATAAATATAACGAACTTATAGAAAATATACTTAACATACTTCCAGTGAATCCTCTAATTTTTCATATGATGAAACTGAAAATAAATAGACGTAAGTACTTTATCTAAATTTAAAACTAAAATAAATAAAGGAACGAGATAGTCCTGGGTGGCTGTCACAAATAGGCTAAATAGTGGCAAAACTATGTTATTAAAAGCCAACGTTTAGACCCGACTTTGCAGGTCTTCTTCAGGGCTAGAACAGACAAGATACAAAATGATATAGAGAATTAGGGAAGTTACATCATATTTAGATAAAAAAGTATAACCAATGTGAATAAACTTATTAAAATTATAAACAGTAAGTACATTAAAATATTAAAAACAATAAGTTGCATAAACACAATAAGCTAAGTAACAAGATCCTAAACTGAAGTAAATAGATGGTAATGAGGAAAAATCTAGAAAATTACAGTATCTAAAATTTGAAGGTATGGATGGATACAAGGGAAAAAATACTATATCTATGAAATATTAAATTATAAATATGTACATATACATATAAAATAGAATTAAGAGATTATAGATAAGAGTACAATGTGAATTTTTGCCATAGTTTTACCACTATTTAGCCTATTTACGAAAGCCACCCTGGACCATCTCCTTTCTTTATAATGCAACAGTCAACTATTAAATATCCAATATGGTCTAAAATAAATAAAAATATCGGTTTACAGAAACAAAAAAATCAGGATTCATTTATGGTCTTATATATTTATTTAAATTATATATTTAGTTAAATTATAGTACATGCCATAGGTGGGGAACCTTATTATCATTACAGGCCACTTTAAGGTTAGTCTATGGTCGCTTCCAACAACAGAACTGGAGTCAAGAGAGAACGAGAGCAATATGTGCCGCTCTAGTCGCGAGGTGGTGTGAAGGGAAGAAGACATGGATGGCTAGACACAAGCCATCCTCAAGGGAAAGACTGGTAGGGCACACCCTATAACAAATGTATACAGAAGACCAGAGGATATGTCCAAATGAGATCGTCATCTACCTAGGAATTAGGTTAGCTTCAGCCCTGAATGTGACGCCACACTTGGAATACATGGCAGGTTGGGTGGCTTTAGGAATGAATAGTCTGTCACATGGGGTGTGCATTTTTGGGCCACAGTGACTATTTACAAAGATGTCTTGGAGGGTATCCTGAGGTATACGTCACCCTTCTGGTTTCGGAATTCAAAAATAGTTAGCATCGACTCACAGGACAGCTCTGCTTCGGGTCACAAGAGCATATAGGTCTACGTTAGATAATGCAATGGAGGTCCTAGCGGGGGCGGTGCCTCTCGAACTTTTTCTGCGATAAAAAGTGACCAAGTATGATTACAAGACGGAGGGCTCAACAGGATGAGGATCATTGAATACATGGAAAATATAATATGGAAGGAAACAATTGATGAGTGGAGCGAATGATGGGTGACGACTCCGAAGGAAGAGAGTACCTTAAGAAAATACTTCTCCGCCGATCGATCTAGGTTACAAACAAAATGAGTCCTTCCCGACTATTGGTTTACAATTCCTCACGGGACATGGGAGTTTTAGAGCTAAAATGCATAGCCTGGGGCAGGATATAAATCCCCAATGTCCCACTTGTTGTATTCCGGAGACAGGCGAGCATATGGTCACAGCCAGCACTCCTTTTGACGGAGAGACTAGAGACTTTCAGAACTCACACAGTCCCTCCGTTTTCCCCCACAATTCTCGTAAGAAACTTCATTTCTGCGGCAGTAATACAGCTTAGTAGCCTCTCATTCGTAATCCAGCTCTCCGCTTCATAGAGAGGTACTGGTATGAAGACAGACTTGAATAATTTGTGCTTCAACGTCCTGCCCTACATTCCTTTTACCGATAACCGAGTTACATATCTGGTTGTAAACGGAATTAGCCTTGGAGATTCTATTTGATATTTCTGAATCCACTTTATCAGATCTATTGATCACTGTGCCAAGATACGTGAAGTCCGTCACCATCTCCATCAACTCCCCACTACAGGTAATCTGGACATTCTTTTGAGTTCTACCTACTTGAAGGACCTTCCTTTTTGTGGAATTAATACTCATGGCTGATAAATATTCAGCTCTGTCATTATATAATGGCTGTCATTATAAAGTTTTTATTTGTGCCGACGTTTCAACCAAAACAACCTCAGTTTAACTCATACCACACTCCGTTTTACCATTGAAATATAATCAAATAATTCTCTCCCATTTCTTGATCTCTTCATTTTCCAGAAATAATGATAATACCTTATCCACCAATTGATACACCAAACCTACCAACTCCGGCCCTCTCCTAAACTATTTTTCCAAACATCATTGGATACACACCGCAGTCTGACATTAGCCGACCCGCAATTCCACGACAATAACCTAACTAAACTTCACAAGACCCTGAAATCCAACGCCTTTCCTGATCACATAGTTAAAAACCTAATTAAAAATCAATCTAAACCTCATCTTCACCAGCATCCCACAAACTGCTCTCAATCTCTCACCAAGATTCGCCAATACAGATCCATTCCATACATCCCGTTCCTATCTAAAAAAACCAAACGTTTTAACTTCCCTCATTAACATCCCCCATCTACAAATAGTTTTCAAAAATAAAAGTAAATTAAGAAATTACTACATCAAACTCAAAGATCCTGTTCCGCCTCTACAACAATCAAATATAGTATACCATATCACATGCTCTTGCCCAAACTGCAATTCTTCTTATACAGGAGAAACCAAAAATTATCTTAAAAAGGAATATATCAACACTAATACAGCATTCCCACACGAAAACCGCTCCCCTCGAAACTAGTCGAACACGGCATAACTCTTAGCCACACATTTGATTTTGAAAACACAATCATACTTGCCATAGTTCACACACGACTACTTTCAGAAGCTTTTTTCATTAATTTGGAAAAAATAATCCGGGAAACCACAAAACAGACAAAGAAAAGATCTGCAATACATAGTCAAATATTTTTCGCATTCTAAAACAATAGTCTATAATGATTAAAAATTGTTTTTCATTTTCCCCATTTCCCCATCAACTTACAGAGGTAACTACTCCTACGTTTCTTATATATTGTCCTACCTATCATTTCAATCCATTACAATTGTCTGTATTATAAAGATTATTTGGCTAACTATTGTATACCTTCAATCAAACTATGTTATGTTTATATTGATTAGCACCTCTTGCTTATGTTCATTTCATTACTAGCCAATAGTCACAATTTGGTAACAATTTTTTATTTTTTGTTGGGTCCTCCCTTTCCTCGCCGTTAAGACTATACGGGGTTCTCCCGGGCCAGGGAATGTAGGCGGGGATTTAAAAGACTCTCCCGGCACTCGGACTATTTTTCTTCGATGTCTCAATTGCCAGGTTGCCCTGCAACGGCGGTGCTGTGCACACTCGTTAGCCCATTCGGCCACCCCGCCCAGAACATTTTTTTAACTATAAGAAACAACTCAAATCTTGTATTGTATCTTGAATAATTTAGTCAGCAAATTATTTGCATTCTACAAATGGAAATGTTACCCCCCTCTCTCCCTCTGACTATGTTTACCTATCTGAAAATGCCCATCTAAGAAATCCTCCCTCGACCCTTTCACTTACCTACTAAAGTGTCAGTACTTAAAACCTTTAGTGCTCGAAACACGCTTAGTAAGAGAAAATATTACATTTTTTATAAATTGATTATATACATTATTTTTAGTTTGTATAACTTTTTACATATTTCATTTGTCTATTTCATGTATCATCAATCACTATATTTTTTATTATTAAACTATTATCTGTCGTATAATATTATACCTCTGATTGTATTAAAAATTATCAGCCCTGGTGATGACCCACATGTATGGGTTGAAACGTCGGCACTAACAAAACTTTATAGCGACTGCGTCCTGAATATTTATCACCCATGATATGTTGAACAGTGGGCTAACTTACTACATTATAGAATTAATCTTTCTCTTCAGTTGCCTTCCATTCCGTTACTGCCTGCTGAAGTTTCTTTGGGGATTCTGCAATAAGTACGACGTCAGCAAACAGGAGAGACTGTATCACTATAGGATGTATGTTCCATTGGCCCATGTGCATTCTGGCTGTACGTCTTTTGCAAAAGGGTGCAATCTCATCCACTTATACAATGAAGAAAAGGGGGCTTAGAGAGTCGCCTTGTTTTACTCTCTTTTTCAGACTAAACACTTTTGATTCTTGTCCATTTAGACTCACTACACCTTTTGGCACCTGTTACGTTGATTTTATGGCATCTAAGAGCTTTTGAGGAATGTTTTTTGTCCTTAAGGATTCCCAACCTGATCTAAAACCAGATTGTTATTCTCCTACTACTTCATCTGTCCATTCTAATAATTCCCGGCTGGTCGCTATAGAGAGCACTTTGTATACTATTCCAAGTAGGAATATTCCGCGTTGATTTCTACATTATGTTCGGCTCCCCTTTTAGTATATTGGACATACTACAGCTTCAGACCATTTTCCTGTCATCTTTTCAGAAGTCCATACATCAAATATAATCTGGTACACATCCTCCCAGATGCCCTTTCCTATATAGTACAGCATTTCCGCATATATACCATTCCCTCCTGGTGCCCTATTATTTCTAAGGTCCAAGTTAATCTCAATTATCTTCTCTATTTCAGGTGGAATATATTTTTATTTCAGTTACATGCTAAATATGATCATCCTAAAAATAATTGAAAACTTTTTGATAGACAAATAAATAAAAAAAACATTCAGGATAGAGAACATATTTTGAAGATTTGAAAATTAAATAAAGTCTGTTTTAAGTGGTTTGATTATGTACAGTGAAACTAGCAGAGTATTCATTTACAATATATAGATAGATGTTTATACATAAATATATTATATATCAAGAATTGAAACGATAAAATTCAAAAGCAATTATTATCAAAAGTTTATTTTTGTAGAATTCTGTCATCTTATTGAGCAACATCCAAATATTGGTCTAAAACAAGAACCATAGCAGTTGATGATGATAAACTTATAGTCAAACCGTCATTATATAGGAAATAGATACTGATGATATATGTCTATAAGTTATTACTAAATGCACTTATGCACATGGTGCATAGACTTTTACATAAGTATATGGTGGGGGAACGATGTTAACAATATTCAATGTACGGGAGGGGAAAAGGAGATAGAACTCTATACATTAAGGAATAGCTCAGTAGTCAGTTTATTATCTGTAATATAAAATATATTCATTACCTATGTGGTTTATTTTATATTTTGTGAGCTATTTTTAAATTAATGGCTGTGAAATATAGGAGGGCTTCTTCATAAAATATTGGGATGCGGTGCTGAACATTTTCCCTCTTTCTGTGCAAGCACCTATGACCACATTATATTCTAAATATGCAATAATTACAGCTTACATAAAATACATGCTTAAACAAAAATAACCGCGTTTTTGTCTATACATAAATTAACTAACATATCTCACCTTCAGATCGAAATAACATTCCAGTACATTCCTGATCAAACAGAAAATTTGTAAATAATTCATCCTTTTTTGATGTGCAGCAATCAGTATTCTTAAAAAATAAGAAAATTAATTAGGAATCAAGAACATTTCTCAGGGATCAGTTAAAATGAGAAAAGAAAAAAACAATTATAGGGTTGTTTTGTAATCCTTAGGAAAAATAACTAGGAAAAAGAAATCGGCTTTTAGTAATTTATAATTATATTAATCTATCCACACATGGCCCATAATTAATGGAAATATGTAGGTTATTATTGAAATCTATAGATGTCTAAATTTTCAAGAAAATTCATTTGTGACTAGTTATTTAATATGCATAATGAAGATGTATCCTAAGGTCACATTATAGTTAATTTCATCAGAAATAATTCCTAATGAAGTTCGCCATTAAAATTTGACCATTAAAATACATTAAGCTTAGTGAGCCTTTCAGTTGACATTATGACTAACTTGAATTTCAACATTTTTGTTAATTAATTTTAATGATATTTCTAGTGAGAAAATTTATACCTTTATTCACAGTTCTATATTTCATCACTGCAATCACCTACTCTGAAATCAACTTACTCACTCTCTGTACTGATATTTCAAATTTTCCAAGTGGAAATATCACTGAAATATAGAGTGGGCGAGCTAGAGATACGGCTGAATAAAGCCAAGCAGGGCTAGCTAAGTATATCTCTCGAGATCTGAGAAATCCCAGTGCGAGCAGGTGAAACCTCTAAAGTCCTATTGACAAGCATAGATGACGATCTGGGTATCAAGCTGAAGATCTTGATACCATACAGCGGCGCAGGACCAGAAAATACAACCCGCGGCCGCCTCTAGTCATCACGCGCTGTCAGATCAGTGAGGGACAACTTAGTGCAGACTTGAAAGGTGAAGAGAGATTTCTCGACGCGCGATATCAGATGGCAGGAAAATGACTGCCACCAAATATATCTCAGCGAGGAAATGACATCGACAAATTGGCTTGCCAGACAGAAAAAAGTCGTGAAAAAAATAAAATACGTATGATTCGCTGCCGGATATGTGCGGTGTCAAAAAGAAAATGGCCATCAGGGAAAAAGTCCTACTCAATCTGGAATCCCTGGATTGGAATGGATTGTATTCCTGTTCCTGTATGGATTCCATGGTTGACATTCCTCACCTCCAATGTTCTTATAATCCTTGATGCCCATGCTCTCCTCAAAACCTCTACCTTTCATCACCGTCAGTCCCTGGATGTGTCAGCAAATCAAGGATCTTCAGAAGAGACTTGACGCTACCCGTAGACGCTTTAGACGTACCAATTTGTACCCTGGAACTATTCCATCACTTCCGCCATCTTCTACCCATGCCCACACGTGGACTCAGGCTTACGACTACCAAACGTTTAGAGTACTCCTGAAATAAGCCAGAATCCAATGAGCCAAATCCACCTATTTCCATGAAGCCCTCTTTTTAGCTCCCAATTCAAAATCCAAATGGCTATTCCTTCCTAAACTCTCCTTTTGCGAACCTTCCAGATCCCTTCCTCTTCAGTCCTTTCAATTTCACCAGATGCTTTAAATTCTTATTTTACTTCTGCTTCCTCTTCCACTCCTCCATTTACATCTTCCTTCTTTTCTCCTGCAACATCTTTCAACGAGGACTTTTATTTTTCGGATATTTCACCCACATTTCTACCAAATAGACAGCATTCCTACCAAATTAATCAAATTAAGCCTTCCTAAAATCCATCTCGTTCTTCTTTTCATTTGTAATTTCTCCCTCAAAACTCAGTACTTCCTACCTTGAAAGAAAGTCATCGTCCGTCCTTTAAATAAAAATTCTAATCTTACTGCCTCCGAACATTTATGTCCAATCTCAATCCTCTCTAACCTTTCAAAACCCCTGGAAAGAATAGTGGAATCCCAAATTTCGGATTTCCTAGAACAGTCCAGTCAACTTGACCCTGACCCTCTCCAATCTGGTTTTAGACCAGGTTACTATACACAATCCGCCATAATCAAAGATGACCAAAAACTAACTGTCCTTTTACTCCTATACTTTTCCAAAGCATTAGATACCATTAACCATTCCATCCTTTTTCCAAATTAAATTCCCTTTTCTAAAAGTTCTATTCTTTGGTTTCACTCTTTCCTTTCTCAACGTACACAAGCAGTCGTTATTTGCAATCAACCTTTGTCTTCCTATCTTATTCTGACCTCAGGAGTTGCCAAGGGCTCTACGATATCTTCTTTTTAGTTCCTATATCTTCCTTTTAGTTCATAAATCAATACTGTTCCCATTACCTCTATGCCGATGATTCCCAAATTTATCTTTCCTTCTTTCCCTCCGAGTTGCATGATACGTTTGCCAAAATTGAAGAAGATTTAAATCGGATGAGTGCCCGGGCAAACTTAAATAGATTTAGATTAAACGCTGCCGACATTCAAACACAGCTGTTGTTATTGGTTCCAAACCCCTTCTCATATCCAATACCAACATTCCTATCCTGTGCCTAAATTACCATCCCATCACCTTCAGCTCCTCAGTAAAAAACTTAGGCATTTTCATAGACCAAACCCTCTCCTGGCATCACCATATTGCTCACATCTACCGACGGTCAATTGGTACCTTGAAACTATTCCATCGCTTCCGCCATCTCCTACCCATTCCCACACGTAGACTACTAGTATCTTCCCTCATCCCTCACCTTGATTACTGCTGCGTGGTGTACGGTGGCCTCTCGGGGAGAGACTGAAAAGAATTATGAATGCCTTCGTAAGATTTGTCGCCGGGACCCGGATGCGTTCTCGTGTTTCGCACCACTATGCTGAATTAGGATGGCTCTTCCCTTCCTTCCGAAGACAATATTTCCTAGGCACATTCCTTTTCCGAATAATCAATAATCACCGTCCTACGCATACAATCTCCTACAATTCAAATCATCTATCCACACCCTCTCCACAAGATCTCATCCTTCTGACATTTACATTACACACCTTTCCACAGATCTGCCTCATTTAAACATTCCTTTGTTGTCCGTTCCACTGCATTCTGGAATTCCATCCCATAAAAATCCGCCATGCGTCATCCTTATCCACCTTTAAAACTACAATGCTTTGGTTATAAAATTGATTTAGCGTTCCTTTCTAATTTCATTTAGTGATTATTATGTTATTGTTTTAGCTCCAATATTGTAGTATTGCAACCCTATTTCTCAACTGTTCTCGTTAATATATCCTAAGAGCTATTATACTTAATTTATTACTAGTATTTTAGTTATCTTTTATTGTAATAGGTCTTTTGGCCAGATTTATTGTTAATTTATGAACAATACTGTTATTCTTAAGGGACCTAATCCCAGAATAAAGATTATTTTCTATTTCTATTTCTATTTCTATATATGTTTTTTTTTCTTCGCTTAATATATCGCTTCATAGGAAGGTACAACACTTTTCTAGTTTTTCACAATACTTTTATAAGTATTCACTTACACTTCTTAAGGAACAGATGTAAATCAATTATTTACTTTAGTTATTTTATTTTAATTTTTTATAAAGTTTTATATTCTATCACTACAATGGTTTGCCTATAAAATTTATTTAACTTTCTTTTCCAATTTCATTAATTATTTTATGTTGTTATTTTAGCACCAACATTGCAGTGTTGTAACACTATTGCCCATTTGCTTTCGTTAATATATAATAAGTGCTATGAATATATTTATTTTATTACTTATATTTTAGTTATTATTTGTTGTATTAGGTCTTTTGGTCAGATTTATTGGTAAATTGTAGGTACAATATTGTTATTCTTGAGGGACCTTGTCCCATAATTAAGATTATTTTTTTTCTATTTTTATTTCTAAAATGACTTTACACAAAAATGTTGAAATTGAAGTTAGTCATTCTGTCAACTGAAAAGCTCATATAATACTTAAATTAAATTCATTTTTATTAAATTAATTGTACTTGTTTACAGAATTACCTGAAGATGAATTGGTGTATTACAGTCTTCAATGTCTGAATTTGTAGCTAATACTCCAGTCTATAATACAAACATTAAATATTAATAACTTGTAGCCGTTAAAAAGTTAATACACATTAATTTTTAATGAACATTTTCTTATGAACAACTTGATTGATTACTACATATTCGATAAACCATGAAGATCTTTCTAAATTTTTATCAGAATAAAACTCTATACTTTTACCCAGTTATTCACCCTAAAATTCTTCAGATATTTGCTTATTTTAACTTAGAGCCTACAGGAGAACCTTAGTAGATGAAAAGACAGATAAAATGTATCTACAATAACACTAAAAGTAAAATACATGTATAAAATATGATTTTTGACTAATGTTTTAGAATAAAGTAAATTTTATTACCAAATCAAAAGTGACATGATCTAATTATAAAATTTAAATAAAATGCAGTATTTAACTGGTGGATCCACAGAGGTAACTTTTCGGCTGAAGGAACCCCCAATAAGATTAATAAAGCAAAGGAGAGTTCAACAGACTCCAAACTAATGATCTTTAAAACAATATCCTTGCCTGCGTTAGTATAAAGTTCAGATCATTGGAGGGCCATTAAGTATTTCTAAAGAATAACTGCTGTAGAGATGATTTTTCTCAGAATAATCAAAGGAGACCGCATTCAAAACGAAGTTATTCGGAATCAACTAGATATAGGCCAGACCATAAGGATGAAGACTGGTAGCATGAGGAAAACACATAGACCTAGGTTAACGCTTAGGGAGTACTTTGAAGAGTTAAGAAGAAGAAGAGGAAGGAAAGACATGGCTCCAAATGGCCGGAGATAGGAGTGAGTGGCGTAATAGTCTAGGGGGGCCAATGATCAATGATACGTTTATACACTGGACGAACTTAAATCTATCGATAGTCTGTAATGACAGTCTTTATCAAGTAGAACTAGGAACGTCATGTCTTGCCGTCCTTATTAGACTCACTCAAGGCAAATCACTCAAAGCAAAGCTTGAGGTTTCATTCATCGGGAAGATAAACACATACGAACACGATTTCCATTCAGCCGACAGGTCAACAGCCGAGATTTTTTCTTAGATATTTATTCCATTTAACTGTATTTGAATCGCAATTGAAGTGTTTCCAACAAGTTTAAATCGATTGGATCTTGTTTCCAATATGGGAAAAAATTATACCATAATATATAACATTTTTGCGTCAGTTTTAGAAACCCATCTTTCTAGGTTACCTGACGCAATCGAAACTTATCATTCCATGATAATTATTTAAGAAAAAATCGCAACCATTTACCGGTTGGTTGAATGTAACTCAAACGTTTGAGCGCTGCAGTTTTGAAAACGCACTCAAATTGGAAGTCAATTTTAGTTTAGCACATCACTACATACTAACACCTTTCAAATAATTGTATTTTAAAGTGTTCCCCTTATTTTTAAATCAATTGGATCGTGTTTTAGTGTAGAAAAAGATTCTACTAAAATATAATATACTAGGTGTTTCGTAATTGCACTGCACTATTAAGGTATGTGTTCACTAACACAAAATAAACAAAAAAGTTCATATGAACATATATCTCAAACTCACTAAACAGATATCAAACATTAAAGATTTATTATTTATTTATTATTATTACAACATTTAGAGTAACTGTTCAAAGGGGCCTCAGTTTTGTTGAATGCAACATTCAACACGACGAATCCATGCTTCTCTGGATGTTCGTATAGCATCAGGATGGTGCTTGATAGTTACTACGGCTTCCACGAACCGATTTCTTAGCTCTTCTAGCTAGCCAAATGCCGCAGAATAAATCATAGACTTCATCCAGCCCCACAAAAAATAATCGAATGGCGCTAAATCCGGAGATCCGTCCCATCGGCCTCCGTAAGTTGCATTTAAATAATCAGTGACGCTATCAGTAAAGTGCGCTGGAACACCTTCATGCATAAATCACAGCCGTTGCCTAGTGCCAAGCGGAATATCTTCTGTTAGTTCATAAAGGTTATTTTGCAAAAAAATGTAAGTAAGATATACCTGACAGCCTAGGTCGAAAGAAGGGGCCGATGATGTTGCCGCTTAGAAGACCACACCAGACATGTCCAACAGCTGTCTTATGAGGGTTTTCTTCAGCCCAAGTATGGGTATTTCGAAAATTAAGAATCCCGTTTCTTGTAAAGCAAGATTCATCAGTAACCAAAATGCACTTCAGGAAGTTAGGATCTCTCGTACATTGTCGAATTAACCACTGGGAGGAATTTCTGCTCTTATTATAATCTTGTGGTAACAAATCTTGCCTACTCGATACGTGAAATAGATATAATTGTTGTTCGCCATACGCTGGTTGAGGAAACATCGAAACGTCGTTACAATCTTCTGGTACTAATAGTAGGAGATAACTAAACAGCATCGAGTATTTCTTCTTCAACGTTTTCAGTTCGTCGAAATCTTTGTCGACCGGCGGGCGTTTACTCGCATTTTAGCTTGCTATTATCCAAAAGGCGTCTTTCAATGATCTCAAACGTTTTTCGATTTGATATTCTTCGGTTAGAAAATTTTCTTGATAACTTCGAATAGCAGCAGCACCGTTTCTATGTACCTCGCAATAAGTTAAAAGCATGTCTGTTTGTTCTGCAAAACTAAATGAATTTATGGTGTCTCTCATGATAGTTATAGATTGTACTATGTCACAGTATTCACTCACACTAAAAAACACAGAACTAAACAAACAGATGAGCAACTACTGTCATTGCTTATTATACTTATTATGCTTTGTTCATTTGTTTATCAGGTGATTAAAACCTGTTATATATTATTTAACACTTTAAACTTTGCACAGTCAGTCTTAATGTAGTAAATAAATAATAAATCTTTAACCTTTTATATTAGTTTAATAAATGAGTTTGAGATATATGTTGATATGAACTTTTTTGTTTACTTTGTGTTAGTGAACACATACCTAAAATAGTGTCGTGCAATTACGAAACATCCTGTATACAATTTTGCATCAATTTCGGAAAGGTATCTTCCTAGTTCGCCTTACACGATTGATTTTTTCTCCTCTTGCCATGCAGAATCCCTTAGAAAAAATCTCAGCCGTGAACCGCTCAGTTGAATGTAACTCAAACATTTGAGGTGTTTTGAGCGCTGTAGTTTTGAACACGCACTCGAATGGCGAGTCAGTTTTTATTCAGTGTTTACTGTACTACAAACTGAAACCTTGCAAATACTTGTTTTTTTAAGTATTCCCATCAAGTTTAAATCGATTCAATAGCGTTTTAAATGTACTGAATAATTTAGAAAATATGCCAACCCTTTACGGTCGGTTGAATTGGACTTAAAACTGAAGAGTTTGAGCGCGTCAATTTTGAAAACGCATTGGACTACGTAATTTCTCCTGTGACTTATAACTTTACTGCATGTTATATAACGCTTGAGAAATTTGTAGGTGTTTATTTATTCGGTGAATGGAACCTCGAAATTTACCTATTTGGGACCAAATTAACCCAAAATACAACCATTATAAGACTTGATAATCCTAGTTCCGCTCGATAAAGACTAAGATTTAAGACTATCGGTAGATTTATTTTGGTCCTTTAAACAAATATATCAGTAGTTCCTGGTCTGGAAGTGAACGAGGCTTGTGCTGTACGCTGGATGGTAACAGTACATTAAAGAAAAAGGATTAATTCGCAATACCAAATAAACTGAGGCGAAAAACAAATTAATTTAACAAATCAGATGGGTGGGAAACAAGGTATAGTAGATAATTGTTTTAAATGAATATGATTGTTTAAAATGACCATTTATACTCGAATTAATGAAATGAAAATAGATTTTTATTATCCTGGGACTGTTGTCCCTTTAGGACAAATTATAGTTACAGAGGAAATGCCTGTGTGGCCTGTGTGAAAAATAAAACAAAAACACTAAATACATACAGATATATATAATACAATGTGTAATAAACAAATGTGAAAATAAAATTACATAAAGAAACAAAATCATTTCTGGGGGAGCTTAAAAAGTTCTCTTATCTGCTTTTCATGATCAATCGGGTTGGGAAAGAAGTAGGTGTTCAAAAAGGAGAGATTTAAATGAGGAAACTGATTGCGCATGTCGGATATCGGGTAGGGTTTGTTTTCCAGATGGAGGCGGCTTGAATTATAAAGGATTTGTCAAACGCAGCAGTTCGGTGAGGAAGTTGATAGAGGTCAGAAGTACGGGATCTATTGGGACGGGATTGAATGGAATATTTAAATTGTAGGCTGTGAAAAATATAGGAACGTCGCTGAGTTCTGATGGCAGAAAGGTAGCAAGGAAGTACAGACGGCGGTTGAATGGATAAAGCCACTTCAACTTGGTGTAATACTGGGTTATATGCGTATTTCTTGAGATTCCGAAAACAAAACGTATTGCGCAGTTCTTTAAGCGTTTAAGTTTGGCCTCGAATTCTCCCGAGAAGTAGATTGATAAATGAAAGTGTTGTGATGCGCCCACTGCCCCAGATTATTTTCCCTTAAATAAGAGTAATTATGGAGCAAGAAGATATGTTCCACATAGTTTCAAAAAAATTCTCCTTAACTTATACAAGTTATAAAAGTATAAACACGAACAGTAAAAAACAAATCGTTTGCATGGTCAACACAATTATAGTTTTGAGAAGTTATATCAATCTCGGAGGTATTAAAACAATTGTTGTCAAGGACGTCAACAACTGTTAAATTCAAGGTGGAGAAACTTCTCTGCTTGAAATGCCTCAGGAGTTAAAAACTAACTTATACACAAATATAAAAATACTTTTAATATTTACGTTGTCATAATATTAATAATTACGGGCGAAGTATTTTTATTTGCCAATGGGAAAACAAGAAAGGATGTACGGAATGGGATAACTGACCTTATACCCAAAAAAGTTGGGACCTTGATTAACTTTATATTGTTTTCAAACATTCCTACATTATAATGAACACATTTTGTAAATTCTGTTTTAAATAAACACACAGAATAATATTATTTTTATTATCAACAATTTAAAATAATCTGATC